GGCTGAGTTGCTTCCTAACCTTCTGCTATGCTTTCTCCAGCTAAAACTGTGTCTCAGGAGCTGGCACTGGCAACTGCATACCACTGCTAGTAAGCTCTAGATTTCCATTACATGGAAACCACTCTGAGACTAAATATAATTACCCTTTAGCCTGGTAGTCATTTGTTGCTCTACTCTGGAAGAATTAGGGCAACAGTGTTGCTCTTTTTCATTACTGTATGTGCTCTAAAAGTTCCATGGCACAGAGGGAGAAGATGATGAAAACAAGTCATTGAAAACACTGGCCAATGATGGGATGCTTCTGCTGATAGCAGCTTCATCTCTCTAGGAAAGACATTTATAAAGTAGCTCCCATTTAAAAAAAAAAAAAATCTCCACATTCTGTTGTGTTGAATCATTTATCTAGAATGAAGGAAACATGCAGTTTAACCATAACATACATGAAAACAATTTAAGAGCAGGAACTGCTGACTTACAGTACTAAAAGCAGGACTTCTACAGTCCCTTTCCTTTAAAGCAACAATAGCTTTTCATTTCCAATCCATTTCTCTGCCAATTATGCAATCAGTTCTTAAAACCCTTTGGAGTAGCTATGTAACATTTACTTTGTTTCAATTTGTTTTCAATAGGAAGACCTCTTCCTCAGGCAAAGAAAGTCTTACAAATTACTAACCTATTTTCAACTCTCTAAGAGACAAAGAAATTTAAATAATAAAGAGAATCCAAAATGAAGAACAATGAATGATATTGCCAGTGATTTCTTTAGGGTTTTTATCGTGTGTGTGTGTGTGTGTGTGTGTGTGTGTGTGTGTGTGTGTGCATGTATGTATGTGCACGTATGTGTGCATAAGTACACAACATGGCACACATGTGGTGGTCAGGTCAAAAGACAGCCTGCAGGATTGCCTTCCATCATGAAGGGTCTGAGGATTAAGCTCAGTTTGTCAGACTTGGCAGCAAGTATCTTCAACCACTGAATCATCTTATTGGCCCGTGACCAGTAATTTCTAAATGACATAAATTTTATGCTCCCATCCTTCTTAGACCTTTTTCCCCCCACAGATCAAATGACAAAGTATAACCATCATTCATAATAATTTAAGATCAAACACTGATGTGGAAAAGTATTTACTTTATTCAAGTTGGAAAATCAAATTCTTTTCCCCAAATATCACCATCTAATAAACTATAGAAACCAGTTAATAACCTTTGTCACTACTTTCTGTCCTTTACCACCCTCTTCAAAATTCTATAGGTACCATTAAGTGAGAGAGAGATCAACCACACTCACTTTTATTTCTAAGGTTCATGAAACTTCTGAATTCAGAAATGATAGAACATACATTTTATTAAACAATTGGAGAAAGCCAAAGGACAGAGAAGTTAATTTTCTTCCTCAACAACACATATCTGGTATGTAGGAAAGCAGATTTGGAACCCAAGAGGAAGGGCAGAGGCTGTGGGTGGAACTGCAGCTGGGCTGGTGGTAGTAGACATGTGACACAGCTCTTGTATGATTTTTTTCAGTGTAGCACTTGGTGAGTTTACAAGCTGAGGGGTTGGGAAATAGATATAGTGGTGATTTGAGAAATGAAAATAAGAAGAATTCTTGTTTCTGGGAGAAGAAAGTGAATTCATTAGCAAGGCCTGGGAACAGTTAATGCCCCAATGAACTCATTGATCATCATCTTGAAGTCAGTCAATTTGACTTGATTGGATATTTTCTTGTTAGTTTCAAATGCCTGACATCAGGCATAAAAAGAAGAGTTAACTAGGGTGGGTTTTTGGTCAGGTAGGAGTTATGAAGAAAGAAAGGAGGCTAGGGATCCAGTAGTGTTTGTAAGAGTGGTGATAGTAAGGAACCAGGGAATCGAGGCTGGGTCAGGAAGAAGTACGTCCAGTAAGGATGAGATAGATTTAGGGAAGGTGATGGGGTCAAAGGGTTACAGATCTGTCAGGAAAGCAGCTGGAGTATAGACACTAAAGGAAGGGACTAAATAATGGTCAGAGCAGGGTGTCTGAGGAGGAGGTGTCAAGGAATGTGCTACTTGTGACAAGATCTGCCTATAGTTATGCAGATGTCGGGGGCTGAGTTGGCATGAAAGAGATAACTGCACCAAGAAGGGCCCCAGCCCTGGATGAATCAGAGGAAGGGCAGGCAGAGATGAGAGAGACTGTGCTGTAGTCGATGGTGGCGCAGAGGATGGCCACAGAGGAAAGTTAGAGGAGTAAAGTCTGCTATCGTGTGACAGATGTGGGGTGAATGCAGGAGAGGGGTGTGAGCTGTGAGTTGTGATGGTGAACAAGGGTACCACCCACTCCCTGCAGGCACTGAGGCTGGTGAACAGCAAAATAAAATCAAGCTCTAAACTGAGAGAGCCTCACAGTAAATGGGTAAAGGCACTGTTCTGAGAAAAGGCTGTGCTGCAAACTTAACATAAAGTATGTTCTCCATCAGTAGTTCTTGAATTTTAATCTACATTTTTCTAAGTTCATGATATCTTAAAAGAAAAAATACTCAGAATTTATTTGCAAAAATCTGGAACAGATTAAAAAGGAAATGATCTTCTAACAATTTTATTTCCCAAATCTAGGAAAGATTTATCTTTAAAAATTAGTTCCCTGACCAAGATAAACAGAGTCAAACAGCATCTTATTGTTTCTGGCTTGATATAAATGGACAGCTCACTGCTATAAAACAAAATCAGGCACTGTATTGCATAAGAGTACAATCTCAGAAGAACAGAATCAAGTCAGTTCTACATGGGTGATATTTAGAAAATAGCTTCTCTGAACATAAACTGACCAAAGTCATAGAGTTCAAGCTCAAGCAAAGAAATCCAAGTAGCTATTGGATAAGAACAAATGAGATTTCACAAATACCATAATACATTTGGAGTAAATTATCCTCCACTGAGTAGTAGTGTGATTATCTCATGAATATCTGTAGAGGCATGCATGTAGAAGCAAGATGACAATTTGGATAAGTAAGTTCTCTCCCTTCACTATATGGGTTGCAGGGAGCAAACTTGAATTATCAGGTTTGGCCCAGTGAGCCATCTTGCTGGCCCATGTTCTGAATGTCTTTGTGAGACTAAAGATATATCCTAATGTTTCTATTTTATGCCCAGAGTCTGTCTCTAGGCATTTCAACTAAATTGTCTATATGCAGCTCATGAGATTCTATAGTCCTTTATCACCTTATATATGTAATAAAAATGCCTGACTTTTACTGGCATTTTACTAGGCTCTATCCCAAGCTCAGTGTTTTACTGTATAGTGGTATTTGATAATTTGATTATGGCTATTAATAAGAATGTAGTCTGGTTCACTTATAGGTTAGGTCAAAGGGCTTTTTAATTACATTTTCCTCATATACATTGAGGTTCTGGTCACTAGACAGAACATTTATCAGAAGTTCTATTATGCTGTTTTGCTAGATAAACTCTATTTCAATGAGTTGAATATTCCTGTATTACTTATGGGAATCTCTCTAGAGTATAGTGATTTCTGTGCTTGTCTTAGCTATTCCTCTACACCAGTGGTTCTCAACATGTGGGTCACAGCTGGAGAGCTAAGCAACCCTTTCACAGGGTTGCCTAAGACTATCTGCATATCAGATATTTACATCAACTCATAATTGTAGCAAAATTATAGTTATGAAGTAGCAATGAAAATAGTTTTATGGTTGGAGGTCTCTACAACAGGAGGAATGGTATTTAGGGGTCACAATATTAGGTTGAGAACCACTGCTCTAGACTATAAACAGAATCACCAGGCTTCCTCATCTTTGGCTACCCCCTGAGTATCTATCAATATTAAATTTAGTCTAACACCTAGTACTAGTAGGTAGAACAAGTACAACAGTGATCTTATAATATCAAGCTCATCAAGATTATACATAAACAGGCTTCAGTGACTTGAAGTGACTAGAATTATCAGTATTAAGCTAAAACATGAAACTGCTTTAAGTTCCAAAGCTATAATTGAAAAGGTCACCACTAGCATATATCAAGGATTTTATATATTGTACATATGACTAGAGAGACGTTCATCAGCAAGTCTGTAGAACAGCATGCTAGCTTTTCCAATTTTATAAATGTAAATAAAAGAGAACTATTCTTTATTTTTAAAAACATAGTAATTTGAGGGGCTGGAGGAGAGATGGCTCAGAAGTTAAGAGCATGTACTGTTCTTACAGAGGACCTGAGTTTGGTTCCTAACACCCATGTCAGGTAGCTCACTACTGTGAGGTCCAAAGTGGCCCCCAAATGGCAATGCTGATGACAATGTCTAGACAGAAGGATTCTGACCCAGTAAACGGAAGGGTTGTTACTGGGTAAACAGAAACCTAGACTCATCAATCCTTATGAATCTTATAAGACAGATTTCTATTTACCAGCAAAGTTGCAACTTCCCTTGTCTGCCCCTGTGGTCATCTACCACAGGCAAGGGCATCTAGTTCCCAAATAGCCTGCTACAGGTCAAAGCCCCCAAGCTAAATCCCAGGCGGTTGGTTCTGGGCTACACCTCTCCTCCCAGGGCTACCTGTCCCCTTCAAACTGAAAGGTTTTTCTACCACCTGCTGCCCCCCACCCCCCACCCGCAGACAGCCAACAGTCTGATGCCCCATAGAAAGTTTTCTTCTACCCACAGAGTGGTCTAGTTCAGTGGTTTCATTGTACAACCACCTCCTTTAACTCTGGCTCCAGGGGACCCAATACGCTCCTTCTGGCCTCTGTGGGCACCTGCACATACTTCCCCTAAGCATATAATTTTAAAGAAATAATGAAAATAAATCTTAAGAAATATAGTGATTTAAAATTAAGAGTAATGAAATTAAAATTAATGTTTTGTAAAAATAAACGGTGGGGAGACTTTTCCAAAATAATATATGTATAAATTTGTCTGAGTAACTATCTTGAATATCCTTTCATTAATCCAAAAAATATTGGTTAAGTAACAGACTCTCGTGTTAACAAATCAAAATTTCAACTTACCGTTTATGTTTATTGCTGGTAAGACAATTGACATTTTTGGTCTTGTGGTCTTGTTATGGGTAGTAGCTGGCAATAGCAGGTGATCCTAAAATTAAAAAAGGACAGCCTTTTATATATAATTGGTTTAGTCCAGGAATATTTCAAATTTATAATTTTAGGAAGCCAAAATTTCACTTGGGTAATGAAAAAATTAATTAAGTAAAAAAGTAAGAACTTGGCTTAGAAATAATCAACTACACATGATCTTAATGCAGTACACATTTACTGGGGGTAGGGATTATCATTACCAGACACACTGTGGCAGGTTTTGAATACTCCTAGATTCTGATAACAATGTGTGATTAGGACACTAAAAAGTGTATTGGTTAAGTTATCAAGACAGCAGGTCTTAATTCTATCTGTGCCACTAAAGAGCTGTATGATCTGGACAAGACTGCATCCTCTGTCCAGGTTTCAGTGTCCAGTCCTACAGAAAGACAGGACTGAAGTAGGTTGATAGTATAAGTTCCAATTAAAACATTCATTCTCTCTCTTTCTTTTCTTCCAACATAATATTTTTATTGATTATTTGGGAATTTCACATAATACACCCTAATTATTCTTGCTTCCATTCTTCCCAGACCTACCCACACCCCTGTCATGATCCCCGCCTCCCCAAGAAAAAGAAATAAGAAAAGGAGAAATAATCCAATTTGTGTTGCTCATATATTCACTGGAGCATGTTCAAACTCCCATGGCCAGCACCTTAGAGATAACTGAGTCCGTCCTCACCTTCCCCCTGCTAGAAGCTATCAACTGTGAAGTTAGTTACACTTTAGCAGCCTTATCACAATTTTTAAGAGCCCTCTTCAATGGCTCCCTGTCATTTTCATGCCATTTGTAAAGGAGAGAAACTCTGTCCTCCAAAATTCTCCTAAATTACCAATATGTAAAATAGGTTCAGGGCCAAGGGCCCTCCCTGCCTACTTTGTGTCTTCCTTTAAGGTAAAAATGCCATAGTGTTAGATATTTATCTGTGACAAGAGCACACTAAAATGTCTGTGTGCTGGGGAAGCAGCTCAGGCTGAGTACATGTACACAAGTTAGGTATAGGGGATGTTTGGTAATCCCAGCACCAGGGAAGCAGACACAGATTCAACAGCTTGTTACCCTAGCCTACTTGAAGAGCTCCAGGCCAGTGAAAAACCTTGTCCTAAGGAACAATACCTGAGACCAGCATCTGATCTTTGCACACATGCCCACACCCACACACACACCTGCACATACACATACCCACAAAAAAGCATGTAGTTAAAGTGGAGGGTTGAAAGAACTGTTTGTCTACCACAATTACACAGCTCTAAAAAAATAACACAGCTAACGTTTGATGACCCATAAGTGATTCAGAGTATCTGGGGTGCCAGGACCCCAGCCACATAACCATTCACAGTAATAGTAAGCCAAGGGGAGGCTGCCTGCAGAACGGTGGGGAGGTTGAGTATTTGGAAAATGTAGTTCCATCTGTAGATATTCTAAAGCAGATTATAAATGTCTTATGATTTTAATATTAACTAGTATTACCAACAACTCTTTCCTAGCAAAAACATGAAATTACCATAGGGCTAAAAGCTCTGAGAATATTTCTACTTAAGGAAGCATGCTAGACTAAGCTAAGACAAAACCTAAGCCAAACCTACTTGGTATTGCTTTTTGTTTTTGTTTCTATAGTCCGTGTTCTATCATCCACTCAACAAACTTGTTATATAGATGAAGGCCTCAAAATGTTGGATTTGATATGGTTGAGAGTGAGAAACAAAGTTATCTGCAAAGCAAAGGAGAAACCTAGACTGTGAAAGACCAGTTAAAATAGACAGCATGGGCAGAGCTATGTAGAGACACATGGTAACTGTTGTGCTTCATGGGATTCAAAGCCATAGCTCCAGAACATACTTTTCAAGTGTGGAGAGAAGAGTGAGGGTCTATAGAATCCAGCACTGGAGCAAGGATGGGTGTTTTTTTTCTTTCCCTGCTTTGTTTTGTTAAGTGCATTGTTAGACACAAAGATCACACATTACTGAGAGCAAGATAATAAATTACAACCTAGAAGAAATACAATTTGCTCATCTTCCTGTTATGAAAATTATAAATAGCTTAATCCCTATAATTAAAATATTGTTTCATGGTCTAAATTGAATAAGAAAACAACCCTCAAATTGCAAGGCCTAAATTAAGGTTACTGTAAAAACAAAAACACTTGGATTGTATTGGTGAAGGTTAAAATAAAACTCAGACTTAATTATGAGTTTGTTGTGAAGATCTGGATGTTTGTAAACATGATTTTTTTTAAAGTAATGTCTCCTATATTTTGTAGTAGGAAGTAAAAAGTTATGCTATTGTTTATGAAAAAGAAGAATCACACAGCACATTTATACACATTATTAAAGCTAACCTGTCTTGTTTCTCATCATTAAAAGTATGCAAAAACTGTAGGGTAGCCTTTCTTTGTTTGAGGGTCTCACTATGTAGCTAAAGTTGGCCTAGAACTTGCTATGTAGTGTAGCTCCAAACCCTCCTGCCTCTGCCCTCTGAGTGCTGGGATTATAGATGGGAACCTGAGCTTTTTGTTTCGTTTTTTTCTCAGTGCTAGGGATAGAACCCAGGACATCAAATATGAATCAGTCTAGAACTTAAGGTGCTTGTTTTACTGATCAAAACTGAAGGGAACCAACGTTGATTCTAAGAGTAGTTTATATACAAATATATTTTACACACCCATAAAATTAGGATAACACAGTTGCTTTGTTAAACAGGTACCTTTGTTTCCTTAAAAAAAAAAAAAAAAATGGTCCTTAAACCAAAAATGAATTATTTTCTGTGCTCATCTCACTCTGAGATCATTAATCCCATTAGCTGTAACTGTAGAAACTAGGAACTTTAGTTAGTCAACAAACATTTACTGACTACTAGTACTTATCACAGAAAACATTTACTGAGCACACTTATCTACTGCATACTCAGCACTGTGCTACACAGGATATTTTAAAGAACAGAAATGGGTTTTGGTTTTCTTTCAGGAAACAACTATGCTCTGAGAAAGAAACTGTGATTTTTTTTCCAATATATGCTCTCCTGCTACTATAATTTTGGAATAGAAACAGAACCTGTGATACTTAATTGGGTAGAAAGCAGACTCTTTTGCAGCCAGGCGAGGCAACTTAGTCTAGTTGAAAGAACTTCTTTGAGATGGTAAGTTGGAAGGCCACCCATATTCTCTCTCCTACCACCTAGAAAGCAGACATGGAAGCTATAGCTGGAGAAGCCACACTGGTATATGAGATGGAGGCTGTAACCAGAGGATTACAGAGCAAAAACCAGGAGATGGGGAGCCTGGTGACCAAGGAGCCATAATAAGATCTAAAAGTTATAGACGAGACAGAGATAGAAATAGATTTTCTGCATTAGATTTTCTGTCAGTCTAAAGCTAGGTCTAGTAACTAGTTACTGTATCTGTTTGTGAGTCAGTACTAAAGATACTTTGTCAACAGAAATTCAATAAAAATTAAGGGAATCAGGGATAGCTTTATTGACTTTGTTTTGAGACTGTTATCACTATGTAGCCAGCCTGGAATTCACTATGTAGACCAGCATGGCCTTGAACTCACAGACTTACTTGTCTATTTCCCAAATGCTGAGATAAAAGGTGTACACCACTACATATGACATTATTAATTTTTAACAGCACAGAAAAGCAACATTTATTATTAAGATAAGCCCCTTCCTCTTATCTAAATGTGTATTAACGAACTAATGAAAATTAGGAAATTCAGTCCTGAAGAAGTAGAGGTGTAATTTGATGAATCTGAGCACAATTGTTTCATTCTCATTATATCAGTTAAAATAACCCAAGTGCAACAAAAGTTAAACTATTTAGAAGTAAAAAAAAAAAAATGCAAAAAGGATATTGCTCTAGAAATAAATATATCTCAACACTGTGATTCAAAACCTTGTTGCTTATTTCAAATGGGTTTTTGAAAATCCTGTACAGGGTTGATAAACTACAGAATATGTATCTTCAGGGATAAAACTTGATGGGAGATGTCCTTCTATATATATGTTTTTCTTATTGGTTGATGAATAGTAACACTATTTGGCTGATTGTTAAGGCAGGAAGTATAGGCAGGGCTAGGAGATGAGAAGAATTCTGGGAAACATAGGCAGATGGAATCATCATGTAAGCCAAGACCACGTGGAAGTATACAGATTAATAGAAATGGGATAATAATTAAGACAGAGATAGCCAATAAGAAGTTTAAGCCACCTGCCAACAGTTTTATAACTATTATAGCATCCATGTGTTCATCTGGGCCTGAAGGGTGACAAACCAGTTGGAACGAAGAACAAAAATTACTGCCAATGCTTTGTTTTTCATACTCCTATAGATTGTTAAACAAACATCAAAGCACTGCACTGTGAGAAAAACATCAGCTTTGCAATGTTGCGCAGCAACACATGATCCAAGATGCCTTTTTTTATACAGTCTTCCAATTCCCTTCCTGTGCACCTTGTTAGAGATAGTCAAAGTGTGAAGACACAGCAAAATATTAAATGGCATTTCATTGTTTTGATGAAGCAAAAGCATCAGAGACAGACTGAGCAAAAGTATATAAGGCATGTTGCTTAGCTGGAATTTATGACGATAATTCAATAAAATTAAGACCCAACTAAGAGTTAACAAATGTTGGTTCTACATATCTACAGAGTCCAAACTGACTTACTAAACCAACTGCTAATTGATTTTTCTAATTGCTGGCTTGCTAATGTGACTGTGTTTTCAATATTATAAAAACTGATAAACTAAATAAAAATAGAGATGACACAGTTTGATAAAAGTAAATAGGTCAACTCTATTTTTCTCATTGAAAAACTATAAAAGACACAGAAAACATAAGTTTCCACCATATTGTTTAACAATCTGTAAGTTTTTATTATAATTGAAAGTAATTATAAATGATACCTGGAAATTAATGGCAGACAGGTTTGTAAGCATAGTTTATGGAAGAAGGAAAATCCAGTGATCTGAACAGCAGGCTTAGAGTTAAAAAGAAA